AGCCACATCCCCAGCCCAGTTACCAAAAATTAACAGGAAGGTTAGAGTAACAGGATAATTTACGATTTCAGGGCCTTGACATAAGTGTTGATTTCTTTGTTAATTGTTTCCTTTTAATTACTGTTTTTTCTTTAATTTAGAGAAAACATTCATATGGTTCGAATCTAAATATTACAGGGGATATACATATAGTGAAAACTAGCTTCCATCTTTGTCCTCCACTACTTGGTTTTCCTGCTTGTATGGATCTATCTGCCTCCTGGGGTGTAACTCAGGACATAGTCATTCAGAGGTGCTTATGGGTTTATGAAGACAATGGCGAGGTGACCTGCACACTCTGCTCTGCCTTTCCTTGAGAAGCCATGGAGATGGCCACACCAGGCATCCTCCTCCTTCTTCATAGCCTTGCATGTGTCACTGGATTCCTGGGCAGTAGGTGTCTTAATCAGTGCATTGGTGGACTCTTAGGGTCCTTCAGCCCCTTGCTGTTATGAACGGTGCTGCAGTGAGTGACACTGTCAAGGTACATGTTGTTTTGCACAGGGGTGAGTGTCTGGTGCGTGAGGCACTAGAATGCAGGTGCCAAGCCGAGGTGTGTGGTGTGTGGTCTGATCAGTGTCATCGACTCCCCCGTGTGGGCGCTCTAGCCAACAGTCTTAGCAGACTTTTTTTGTTGGCTGGTTGTTTGTTCGTTTTGAGGGCAGTGGCTGGGCTAGAAACTGAACCTAGGGCCTTCCACATGCTATGCAAGGGTGTGTCGCTGAGCTCCAGCTCTCACACTCTGACCTTTGATAATCTGACAACTGCAGCATTATCTCTAGATTTTTAGTTGGCATTTTTCTCATTCGGAAATTTGAACATTTGTTCATGTTTAAGGATGACACCTTCCCTTTTGTGTAAAATGTCCAAATCCTTTGCCTTTTTCAGCTGAGTTTAGTTTTGAGGGTTGTTTTGTTTTGTTGTTGTTTTTTGATTTTTTTTTTTTTTTTGATACCAAGGATTAAACTCAGAGGCACTCAATCATTGAGCCACATCACCAGCCCTATTTTGTATTTTGCTTAGCACCTTGCTGTTGCTGAGGCTGGCTTTGAACTCAAATCTTTCTGCCTTATCCTCACAAGCTGGTGGGATTACAGGTGTGCACCACAGCACCTAGCCACTGCTGCCACCGCCGCTGTCGCCATCGTCATTGTGGTCTTCTTCTTCTCCTCTTCCTTCTTCTC